TTCTTAGTGCCTATAATTTGGGCTTGAAATTTGCTGGTGTGATAGAGCAAATGATTCTCTACAAAATGGGTATTCTTCCAGGCTCTCTACGACATTTTTTCATCGAACTACATTAGATTTACGGAAGGTCTCAGATAGAATTTTTTCTCACGTCGTTCTCCTTCCAATGATCACCAAAGTGTTCAAACTGCCATCACAAACGAGCGTGCGTCTGATCAATCTATCGATATATTCGAGACATTATTTTCTCATTGTTGGCTATTTTCAATCCTATAGAGCCTATGTCGCACAATTGTTCGTACTATCAACGATTTTTTGAAATGAATCTGAAAAGTAGCACTTTTGTCTATAAAAATAAAAGAAAAACTTGAAGAGTTAAAGTGTGATATCTAATCGCAACCACCTTGTCCGTTTACACTTACAAGTTAGTTAGTCTCGAAAGTTTAGTTTAGTGTCAAACATAAAAATTCTTCATCATAAAGATTGAAATCTATTCATTCTCTTTATATATGAATTTCCATTCGATATTTCATTTCTTAACTTCAGAAACAATAAAATGATATATTCTTTTTCTATTGTAACTTTTATTTAATCATTTATATATATATATATCTAATGAAAATTTTATTGTTCTAGTGCAACAAAAGCATGTTTTCTTTCTTCATTAATATTCTTATTATATCGTATTGGATTATTACAATTTGAACATGAATTAATTTATTTATGTGTTGCTTCATTATTTATATATGTACGAATTATAACATTATTTTTTAAACAATATGATCCATTTATACCATTTGAAAATCTTTCATCTGGATTATTATTTAATAGTTGGATTGAAATAATTGTAAATATTTTATTTATTAGAAAAAAAAAAACAAAAATTTTCTGTTTGTTTTGCTTAGTCTGATGCATATCGACGTGCAACTCTTCCAAATAGTTTATCTACACCAGCTGTAACATCATCAACTGGTCTTTCACCATTAAGTAGTACAACAGCATTAATGAATACGAAAAAAGATGGTATTATTAGTGATGGACAAATGAAAGGATTTGATGGAAAAAAACGAGATTAATAGTTTTTTTTTTAAAAATTTTTATTTGTTTTGTTTACAATGCAAAAAAAAAACAAAGAATCTCGTCCTTTTTAGATTTTTAGTTATTTTAACCTTTTTATTTCTTTATAATCTCAATGCAGAATATTTGAACATCATTAAAATAAATAAATAAACAACAATATGATTATATCAACATATGTTTAACATAGCATAAAAATTTTTCTTTTCTTTTTTTCATACATTTCAATAAAAAATTTAAAATTTTATGCATTCAAACATAGAGAGATAATTATAGACACACATTAAAACAATTATAGAAATATACGATTGATAGAGCAAAAGAAACTATAACAATAGAGATATTCTAAAAGAGCATATTGTCAGTGAGAATATTTTCTTTCTTGCTCCAATGGTAGAGTTGAAATTCATGAAATACAAAATAAAAGCCTCGAAATTGATTAAATATTCAAAAATTTTACTTTTTTTTTCAACTGCTTTTGAGATCTGTGTTTTACAGTAGACAAAATCTAAGCATAGTTTCGGAAAGACCGTTCACAACTAGTATGAAGAGCCGCTAGAAGTTCAATAAAGGAGCTATCAATATCGTGAAAAAGAGTTCGTGTTTTTAGCTTAGTGTTGCGTAGATACTATACTTTTTAAATGAATGCAGTGGTCCTCCGTCAGAAACATCAGGAAAACTGAGGGTATGGTTATGGGTATCTGTTTCGCACGCCTATGCCCACCGGCACACAGCCACCTGCATCCGTCCCCACCCACATCTTTTCCGGAAAACTAAAATCATGTCATTAGTTTGACAAACTAGTTCATTTACTGGACATCATTTTCATAAAATGATTTTGATTTTCTGGAAAATTAAAATCATTTCATTACTTTTGTATAGTTTCGATTATTTTTCGAAAGAAAATAATTCGATTACTGTTACATTTGAAACATTCAATTTTAATCATTTTCCAAATGATTGAAGATTTGCATCCATTTTTTGAGAGAAAAATGATTTTAATCGATGCACTTTATGTGAAATACAACATGTGTCATGATTTTTCTTCAAAAAACAAAAATCATAAAAATGATGAATTCGAACCTTATTTATAAATCCGAGCCCTTACACATACCATTCTTTAAAAAACGGAATGTGTAAGGGCAGCAAAAAATGTCGTGCCCTACTTTTTCTAAAGTTATTAAGTATTTCTAGTACTCTAGATATCACTTACCACGACGGTAGAGTAAAGAAACTTTAGAAAGGTTCAATACAAAGCTCCTCGAAGAGCAATCACCCCAGAGCTTCTGAAGATCTGGGTAAAACTGTCTAATCTCAGGTGAGTAGAACTACCTACCTGACTAGGTATTGTGCATTTCAAAATATGATATGCTCCACTGTTTTTTGGATAACTCGAGAATACAAACAGTTAGAGATCTGTGGTTTTCACTAATCGAAAGAAGAGGCTGGGGCATGTCTTTTTCTGTAATATTGTATAAGACAAGATTATTTTAAAATCTATCAATTCTACGACGCATCGAAAGCATGTGTAAAAACGGTCTGTCATTTATATGAGTTTTTTTGTCATTTTTTAAGTGACGACGTGCTGGGTGTACACCAAAACTGTTCGTTGCTGACTTGATTGCTATATTGAAGATCCGTATCATTTCTAAAATATTGTAAATAATATTCGTAAATACTTCTTGAATTACGATGTCCAACAAGTGTAAAATTTGTCATAATATCACCCTTCTTAATACCACATTGAATTAATGATTTAAATGCCTTTACAGATTTTATACTAGTATTATTGCCAATAATGCCAATACCTTTCAGAAAATAAAAGAATGTGATTTGAAATCTCGACACCATAAATTGGGAAGCAATAGAACACTTCAGTGATTAAAAACCTTTTTGAGTTAGTTCACGTAAGCCATGGCCGATACTCAAGAAATGTGCTCAATGACAATTATCGGATGTTGCTCATTTTTAAGACATATAGTAGAAGCTACAGTTTTATGATTTTTTCATAGACTGGCTCTTATAAGTATGCACATCAAAATTTATATAAGATTTCAATTACTACCCCCGAAAAAAACTCTATAATAGGTTTATAAAATTGTAACAATCTATAAACGCTTCAGGTGCACATCAAAGTTGTCAACGTACTCTTCAAGCGTATATTGACAATTTTGATGCGTGCGTAGAGGATTTGTAGATCGTTGCACTTTCATAAAACTCATTATGAATTTTTTATTCTACGAAAATGTTTTTTGAGTGCATGATAAGATCCGTTGCTCTAGAAAGTTAACAAAGAAATTCATTCTTACCCAATGATTTTGGGTTATAATCTACACAATGTGCACCAATAAATTTCCATCCTCTGCCTGTATAAATTTGCTGTTGGTCATCACTATCATCACACAGAAGAAAATTAAAACCAATATCATCCCAAGTTTGTGTTCCCATTTGATATTCTTGAATTCCTTTTATTTTATTAATACAATCCTGATGAGTCATAATTGGATAGAAATCTTTTAATTCGTGTATAACAATATCTGTAACTGGTAATGTTAAATTTTTACGAATTTTATATCGAACTGCATTCCAGCTAGATCGTTTTAATATATTAGGACAACCTACAAGAAGTGAATATCAAACATGTCTATTTTGTATTCGTTTAACAAAGAATAGTTTACTCTAAATCTATCAAATTTTATTAATCTGTTAACTGAGAAATCAACTTTACATACTTCTTTGAGATCTATGAAATATAGAATTAGTGATTTGATGGGACAACCTGAAATCAAAGTCAGTGGCTTTAATTGCCAATAAGAAAAAAGTGAATTTTAATTAATATGTTTAAAAGCCAAAATACAGATATTTCGGGCGCACATGTAGGGAGATTTCATATTTTAGGTTGTTAGAATCTTTTCTAGCAATTTTTTTTTTTGTTATCTCAGATTTACTTGATGGTAATGGATCATCATCATCATCATCATTATCGTTTTCTGTGGTAGGCGTATTCATGTTTGTAGTTTTTTTCGTGGAATTTTTTTGAACGACGAAAATAAAAATGAATATAAAAGTTAAAGCCAAAAGAATAGCGAACAACAAAAATCCAATGATGCCATAAAGACGACGTTTTCGTTGTTTGAATTTTATATATTCTTCGACATCTTTTATGTCATCACTAGTTGATGATAATGATGTTCTTGGTGTATCACTATCTGAAAATTTGACAGAATCGAAAGAGCTAATTTTTTTTTTCGAGATACGTAAAGAAAAATATCTTACTTTCTGATTCATTTTTATTATCATTTGGATCTTCACATTCTTCTAATTCAATTTCGATTGAAATTGATGCTGTTGGATCATCAAGATAATTTTGTTTAATTGCTATGACTTTAAAAACAGTAAATGGAAGAATTAAAATTTCTTTTTCATCTGGTCTTGTTGATAAACTTTGTATATTGATAGCTGTTGAATTTTGTTTTATTAAATATTGACATAAACATGAATATTGTAATGCACAATGATTTTTAGGAGTATATCTCATTTTCGATTGTTGACCTTCACCAGCAAACATTTCAGCTACTTCACGATCAATTGATGTTGATAAAAATGAACGATTTAATATATGTTGATTTGAGAGATATTGATCTAAATCATTTTGTGTTATTCTCATACCACGATAACATAAACCTTGATATTGATATTGAGGTAAATTTGGATGATAAATTAAGAGTGTAACAATGTGAACTAGACAATTCACAAGACGATAATTTGATGAAAAGTCTTTTGTGTTATCAAAATATTGTAATATATAGAGAGCTAAATGTTTATTTAATACTTTGTAAAAACAATTTGTTAATGTATAAGCTTTTATAAAATATGTTAAATAATCTTGTTTTTCTATAGCTTCTTTAAAATATCCTTCAATAGTTTCAATTTGTTGACGAGTGATTTGATCTTCTGAATTGTCAGTGTCATTACTTTGATTTATCAAATATTCATTTAAATAATAATGAATAACTTCAGCTAATAATTTTGATACTAAATTATGATTATTATAGGTTTTATATAAATCAATAGCTTGACGGAATTCACGTCGTTTTCCAAGGAGATCACCTCCTACTACTGACCATTCAATATAATCATAATCAAAATCATTATTTGAAAATAATTTACGATGTTGTACAAATAGTTGTTTTATATCATCTGTATAGGCTTCTTCATAGGGTGTTAAATTGTGTCGTATATTTCTAATGGAATGTAGAGCTCCATATTCTAATAAAAGTTGTACCATATGTTGATGTCCATAATAACATGCAACATGTAAACATGTTGAACCAGTTGAGCTTTGAATTTTATTTATAATATTTATATTATCAATATATGGCAGAATACTTCGAACTTTTTCTATTTCATTTTCTTTACACAAATTATACAAAAAATCAACGGTATTTGAATCATTGTCGTCATTATTTGATGAGGGTAGTGATAACATTATGATGAGAAAGAAAAATCGAATTTAAAATAAATATGAATATATTTTTGATGTACTTTGTGTATTAACTATAAAAGAAGAACAAAAACAATAATTTAAACTACGAACTTTTCTTTTTCTATTTATTTTACATTCAAAACATTCATATTGGGGATATAATACTTTGATATTTACAAAAGAAATAAAAAGTACTTATATTTAGATGTATTTTATGGTTTTTATTGCACAGCTCTTTATAATTGTCGTAAATTATATCAAAACATAGGATGTATCATTTAGCACTATGGTCATTTATATTTCATAGGATGATCAAATTATACAGTAAAAAGAACGTATACTCTGAAGAAAAAAAAATAGAAGAACTGCACCAAACCTAAAATAGTTCGAAAAATCGCAATGAATTCGGAATCGTTTAAAGGTTTCACATGAAAAAAAGATACATATAGATTCATTCTTTTTATACAATAGAAAAATTCGGAATCCAGAAAATATCTGTATTAGTTCTTTTCG